GCACCCATCGTTAACTTCATAAAACGGACCTCAAAAATGGCATGATCATGAAAGTGTTAGGAAGACAGAAGTTCCAAGAGTTGTAAACCATAACTTTCGTTTCTTTCTTAACGATGGTCTGAAATCTAACTGTACACTTTACATTGGATTCGTCCCAGTTCTCAATGTTATGTCCGTTTATGAAATTGACTGAAATCCTGACAAGTGTGCATTCAACCTAAAATCTGATATCCGATTTCGGCTTTGATATGCCGTAACGTTGTTCATCCTTTAATCAATGAGCGATTCCATACATTTATCAGCTTAGGGAAGGGCTCAGGAAGGAAGGCAATCGTGGACAGCTACGGATTTGTTCTTCAACTGCGAAACAAGCACAAAGGAATCCTTCATAATTAAGGGCAACCCTTTATTTCCTCCAAAACCGCGATTTTCAAGTTGAGGTAGCACTTCCATACCACTGTGACCATCAGACCTTGCCAGCCGTATTGCAGATGCGACGATTACGTAAAAAAAACTTTTCTAGATTTCTCTGAAATACATTTAGTACTATTAGCAGTATAAAAGTGTGATGCGACCAGCAGGTGACCATTAACCTCTTAAAATCAAAAAATGAAATATTTCTTTAGTTTGCGTTTTCAGAGACTCGCGTAATTCAGGACTTACTTTCCTTTGAGATAAGATTTTCTCTCGAGCCATTGATCTATTATTTATTCCATTAATCTGCCAATGTGGTTCATAGATCAAGAACATTGGCAGCATTCTCGTCAAAACTGCCAGTACATGAAATTGATTATTCTCAAATTCACCAAGTCGTCAACACAAGTTACAGAACGAATCAATGTCTTGAACTGAGCTTTGCATGTTTGTGATAAGGGCGATTCGATAGTGCATTCGTACAACGCCAATCAAAAGTCAAAAAGAAAAGATGCTAAGTGTGCCTTCCATAAGAAGCATATCATCACGGCAGATGAAAGCCCAGGCAGCGGCGGTTATTAATTTTATTAATTTTGGGTAACACCATGAGGTCAGATAGTGCGAATTTGAAGTTTAAGACGCCATGATCGCATTACCGCAGCACAGGATCGGGATTTGCTACCCGATACTCGCAAGTCCACCACCCAACAGAATATGAGCACCCGTAATGCATGGGCGCAAGGCGGAATCATTGTGTAGAAACAAACAAAGGCGCGTTTGGACACCAACACAAATTCTGTTATCCTAAAATTATATAGAGAAAATACCAATTCCATTTTTCCAGCACATTCTATCATGACGGTAGTTTTCGAGGCGTTGATAAAAACATCCACATCTCTCTTCACAAAATTCCCCTAGCTTCTAGCTGTTTAGGAGCAGTTGCCATTACGGTAGTTGATCCTAGAACACCAGCGCTGACAATTCTGTATAATTTCTGCACACTGCTACCAATCTCTCGATTGGTTGCACCGGAACTCAGTGAGGAAAATTTCTTGCTCAAGGGAATTAGGCTCATTTATTTTTAAAAAAACTTTTCGTCACGCATGAGACTCGTAGCCGGCACCTAACTTTCAAGGAAACGTGACAATCCGCTGTACCACTACTCACCCCCCCCCTCC